AATAATAATAATAATAATAATAGTAATAATAATAATAATAATAATAATAATAATAGTAATAAGCAATAGGCAATAGCAATAAGTAACAGTAATAAATAATAGTAATAAGTAATGGTAATAATAATAATAGTAATAATATCATTATTATTATTATTATTGTCATTATCATTATTATTATTATTATTATTATTATTATTATTATTAATTATTATTATTATTAATTATTATTATTATTATTATTATCATTATATTATTATAGTAATAGCAAATATTAATCATTAGCTATGAAAGATTTGCGCGTAACAGAGAATAGCAAATCTTTTTGATTAAAAATTTCAATAAGTTATAATGAATAAGATTTAATGATATATGGTAGAATTTTTCAGTTTCAATTATGTATTACGATAAGACAGTAAGACATGACATAAAAGACAAGAGGACAAAAGAGGGCAGACAATTTTTCAGTTTCAATTATAGGACACATAAAAGATGTTTATAATCAAATTTCACTTATTTGAATTCAAATTCGGTATTTTCCAAGAAATATTTAAGATCAAGGATGAAAAATATTTTTAAAAATTCTACGTATGCTTTCATAAATGAGAAAGGAAAATTCCAGAAAAGATAATTTCCTAAAGATCAAAATTCATTTTTTCTTTTTTTTTCGCTTCAATCATTAAATGATTGAAATAACTGTTACTGATAATATGATGCAACAGTTAAACAACAATTAAAGATATGAACCATTTCTATTTATTCTTTCTTTCTTTCTCTCTCTCTCTCTCTCTCTTTAGGCTTTTCTGTTAATAAAGAAGTGATTTCGAGATCTTTTAAAATAATTGCAATTTTATCTTTGTTAAAATACAATTCTTCCAGGGATATATCTGTTAGTGATAATGGATGGATTGTTCACTGTTAACAAAGATAAATGATAAAGCTTATCTCTAACATTTCAAGATTTAATCATTAATTCTTTCCTACATATATATGCCTTTTAATTGGTTAAATTTTATGGTACAGCTAACTTTTGCACATTAGACGAAATATTTCATTAATATTTTGCAAACTTCAATGACATATACTTCCATTTAATTAGGATTATCATAAATTATGAATTTCAGTTTTCAAGTTCCGGAACCGTATTCCGCAATGGGAATTCATCCACACCGAAAATTTTCACTCATCTATTAATACACACACCCACATATGCATACTGATCCTGGTATATAGGTCCATATGTATTCATCAATTCAGTTTTCCCTTTTGTTGTCCAACTATGTGAGTAAACTTGTTGCTTATAACCTGAGGGATTACGGTGATTTCAATTTCTGAAAACTTCATTAATTCATATTTGAAATTACTGGATTAAAAATTAGTCATAAAGTTTTCTCCAAAATGCCATAATAATCCTATATGTTAAAAAGTTCTATAAATATGATCTCATCCATCCTATCTATTTAAATACTAACTTTTTTAGTAAAAACTGATCAATACTAAAATTGAAATTGTTTTAGAAATTTGCATTAATGGAATTTTATGGTATATAAAATAGTTTTGCATATTTATTAATTATATGCAAAAAATGAAGCGTTTAATTCACTTACGTATTATTCCACGGACGTCATGTTTTCTTTTTTTCCTCTATAAACGTTTGATCATTAAAAAGCCCACAACGTCAACATACGTTTGAACTATTCTGTCATTTAAAATTGATAATCAAATAGATTGTTCGATTGTGAAGTAATTGAAATGAAATAAATAATTCAAAATTAAGGTTTTAGCCACTATTATTTGCAGTCGGTTTTTGCAACTGTTATCATCATCATCATCATCATCATACTATGATATCATCGTAATCATATATTATCATATAATCATCATCATCACCATCATATAATTTATCATATAATCATCATCATCACCATCGTTATCATTACCATCCTCATCACCACCAGGGATATCTCAAATTAATTTTACGGTATTATAAATACGGCTCTCCTCTTTCTCTTTCTTCCTCTCTCTTTCTCTCTCTCCCTCTCTTTCTCTTTCTGTTTCTATTTCAGTTTTCTTTTAATAAATTTTTTAGTAAAACCATTTGCTTGATGCTAAAATTATTACCATTATCATTATTTTTCTTATTTATTTCACATTCTTATAATTTTGGATTATTTAATTATAATAATTATCATATCATATATTTATTAATAACTTGTTCTAAGGTTGATTAATTAAATCATTCAATATTTTATTAATTTCACAAAATCTATTTGACCTTGAAATTGACGCATTACTATTGTTTCCTTCCTTTTTTTTTTGTTTGATAATTTCTATGCTTATTTAATCAATTTTATTCCTTTTATTTCTGTTCTTTTCATATTTGATTTTGCAAATTTAATTAGATCTAAAATTATTTATTGTAATAATTAAAGGAATAAAAAGCAAAAGAAGGAAAAGTCAGAAATTAATTTATCATTTTTGATTTATCTATCATACAAATTAATGTTAAATTCTCCTGATTTAGAAAAACTTTATGACGCAATCTTAAAATTGCATTTTCTCTAAAAATGATAAGAAATGAAAAGTCGAAAATTGATATTTATATGTGGAAATAATGGCAAATATTCATATTTCAGGAACAATCCGGAAAAGGTAATCTAGCCGGAACCGGCTCATTAATTACTCCATCAACAACGATGTATTCAGATAGTAGCACTGGTAGCTATAATAGCTATCCATTAGATAATACCCAAATGATGATTACACCGGGAAATCATGAAACTACAATTCATGATATGAGTAGCAGTGCTGCAGCTGCAGCTACTGCATATTGGAATAGCTCAAATTTACCACAACATAATCCCTACACTCAACTCATGACTGGAAGGTATTGAAATTTGATAGATTTTTTTTTTTCAAATTTATTTTTTGACATTTATTTTTCTAAATCGATTCATTATAAAAGGTGTAAAATTAACAAAATTAACATAATTATATATTTTAGTTATAATGGAACAATGCTACCGATGCATTCAACTACCGATGATGAGTATACACGTTCCTTATCGGTTACTGCATCCGTTGCATATCCGGTTCCGGTTTCCGCCTCTACAACGCCTGCAAATGGTGATGTTGTTGAAATTGGCAAGGTTAGAAGATGATTATAATGCTATCATAAATGTACCGTAATTTCTTGCCAAAAATTGTGAAGGATTCTTCCACCATTTCCATCCTTTAAAAGTTGACACTATAACGTCTCTTTACAATTAATCGTTTTTTGTTGACAAAAAGAAATTTGAAAAACAAAAACGAAGGAAAGCAAAAAAAAGTCAGTATACAATAGAGTATAAATTCTAAATAATCCTTCCACTTTTCAGTTATACGATAATGATAATAGTAATCCGGGTGTTACGGTACCTCCACCAATGTATTCAACACATCATAGTACCACATGTTATCAGCAGTATTTTCCTTCGTATGTGCCTCCTGTAAGTTTCTTGAATTATCAAACAATCATTTATCGTTTTTTTAATAGTTGCAAAATATATTTGTTAAAAGCTAATTTCTTTTCTTTTTTGGAATTTTAAAAATTTAATTTGAATTTTTGGAATTCATTGTTCATTTTAAATTCAGTTTTTTTCATCTTTTAACTTTTATGAAATGATATTTTTAGCGAAATTCAGCTAAGAAGAAAAAAAATTAACATTTGTTGCATTTTTCCGGAATACTGGATTACATATTCGTTATTTTAGTTTCAATCTGATGATAAACAGATGCCGGAAAGTTTAGCAAGTTCATATTTAAGTGGCGCAAATGACATGATGAGGCGTGAGGATGTTGCTCCACCGCTTCATTTCTACACTCATCCATTGCAGGTTAATATATAATTTTATGCAAAATTTTCTTCCTCTTTTTTTTTTTTAATTAAAATTTAAGAAAATAAAAAAATATCATTTCTTTTTCTTGATGTAAACTTTTTCGGTTATTACGATACATAACGAAGTAACAAAAACCGGGAGAAGAAAGCGCGGGGGGGGGGGCGGGGGGAAGAGGAGGGAAGAAAGAAATCGGATAAAAGGTCAATTATATGTATGATAAGTTTTGTGGAAATATTATAAATAGTTCATCTTAGAAATGAATGGTCAAGGACCTTTCTCCTCTTTTTTATCCTTTTTGCTCAAATTAAATCTCTTCTGAAAATAACACCAAATTGGGAAAGAGAAAGATCAGCTGAAAGGTCAATTTACATGACAAATTTTATGGAAATAATTAAAGAAATGATTTGATCTTCAAAACAAATGGTCAAGGCCTTACTTCTTTTTTTTTTTTCTTTTCATCATCGATCATCATGTCAACATTTGTGATAATAGTTTTGTTTGTATTATTGCAACATGCATACATTTATGCATGCATCAGCGGTATCCTTTTTGTCGTATGTCATTTGATCTCAATATATGTAAATGAAGATGACTCTTTTGATATTTTCATCGAAGAAGAAGAAGAAGAAGAAGGTCAAATGATGATGATTTTTGGTTTAAGATAGAATAAAAATGAGATGAGATGATCGGTTTACTGCTGTTAAATAGTATATTCAGCAGGTGGTAGCAACATTTTTAACCTTCATAATATATTTGTTAAATAATCGAAAATCTTTTTCTTTCTTTCTTTCTCTCTCTCTCCCTCTCTCTCTCTCTCTCTCTTCTTCTTCTTCTTT